GCTCGTCTGTGCGCACATCGGCGCTCTCCTTCGTCTTTCTGTGTGTCCAGTGCGCGCACACACACACACACACACACACACACTCCCCCGCGCGCTGTCTCATTCACCGGTGCGCGCGATCCACGCAGGGTGGAGGGGTTTATAAGGCAGCGCGAGGAGGCCACACGCCACTCCGACTCAAACACTTCAGAGCACAAGCAGCAAGACTCCGAAGCCGAGAGTACAAGTACCAACCGCGACAGGAGAAAAAGCATTTCGTTCTTTGCCCGTTATTCGCTCGCTCGCTCTCGCTGGAATACAGAAGCAGCAGAAGCAGCGTTAGAAGAGGTTGGTAGTAAACTCTCTGGAGTTTGGTCAGAGTCGCTTTGTGCCGTTGCGCTTGTGGAAGTGAAGTGCACCGAGACTTGGACATCGTGCCCGGGGCGTCTGGACGCGCTGTGACCCGTTCCCGCAGCCCAGCATTCCCGCGGAAGACTTTGAGACTCGGATGGAGAGCGCTTGTTGACACGCTAGAGTAACTCAGTAACAGGTAACAGAAGCTGCCGTTTGTTTTTATGCACATGTGATCGAGGATGGTTTGCAAACTTGGTTTGGTCAGTGGTGCTTAACTACCTGATGATGTGCGGTGCGAGGCTGGATGGAGGCATGGATGCATGGATGGATGGATGGATGGTTCCGAAGAAACGCTCTTGAAAGCCGCTTAACTTGTGTCGCTGTCCGCGGTCCTGAAACGCTCTTTACATTCGCTGAAGTTGTGCCGCTGTCCGCGGTGCTGAAACGCTCTCGACACCCGCTTCTTTAAGCTGTTGCTGTCTGTCTTGTGCTATTTGTCTTGTATTTAGTTTGCATGTGTCTGTCTTTAGAGAAAATAAGATCGTTTGCCAGTGTATGTGAAATCTTGCACACGTCTTATCTTATGAACAGAAGATCATTTAATGTGTATGCTTATTTAAGCATGATACACTCAAATGCTTAGTGAGTAAAGTATTGACGCAAAGCACGAATTTCTACATGCTTTTAGTTCACTTTAGTTGTTTTTAGCATCTGCACCTTATGTTCTAACTGCAACGCATTTTATAATCAGTCAGTATTCATGCACTCTGCATGCTGTGTTTACTTGAAAAGTTGTTGCGCACTGATAATTTTGCTCCTCTTTTCAGAGTTTGGCTGATAATGTCTGCAGCGTGTGCAGCGCAGTCATTTGTTTGCACATAACGAGAAATACATTTATTTCTTATCTGATCGCATCTCACTGCAAACAGCTCGATTGCTGATTTTGCTGCAATGCATGGTTTAACTCATTTGGCATGTAGATTAAAAAAAAGTGTTTTGCAAAGTATTCCTCCTGCAGGTGCATGACATTAATGAGTGTTGTTTGTCAAAGTGTGTGTGTTTGGTCATGCACACAGCGATGGGGTGTTTGTGTTATTGTTCTGACAGCACTAGACACACATTGAGATGTCTCAGCAGCAGATCTGAGCTCACAGATGGCTCCGCGTGTGTTTGGCAGAGCCGAGTGTGTCTCAGACTTTCCCAGGATTAAATGCAAAGTGTCTGTGTTTGTTCAGATCAGATACAATCTTACATTCATCCCAGGATCAGACCAGCCAGAAGACATCAGGGGTTAATGAGCGTGCTGGCTTCACTTGCACAGACTCACATAAACTCTGTGCAGCTGTCTCTCTCTCCGTCTCGGTCTGTCTGTCTCTTTCTCACACACTTCCTGCTGACTCTACTTCAGCTCTTTCGAAAATCAGCTGTTTCCATAACTACAGATGTAATGTGTAATTTCAGCCCCCTATTTGGGGGTATAAAAAGAGGTTGAGTGGCAGAGCTGAAGTACTCTCATTTTCTGTAGAGTCGATAGTTCCCGGTTTCTCAAACTCAATGGAGTGCAGAAAATCATACATGAGCTGCATTAGTGATGTAACTGAAGACAGCCAACAGAGCAGAGCAACAATTTATCTTATTTTATGCAACTGTTGAGCTTTAGTTTTTCAGTCTCACACTATTAGTTCAGAAAGAGGAAGGTGATGATGAAGATAAGGGTACATTGGTTCTCCGAAAAGGACCTCTCACAGCTGCTCTCTCTCTCTTTCATCTTGCTCCTGAATGAGCTTCTTTGAGCGAAAGAGAGCTAGGCGCCAGAAAACAAGGCAAGTTCTATAATAGAGCAAGGGACTGTGCTTGGAAAGAGAGGGGTGCAGCTTATAATGCACAAAGATGCTCCACACATTTCTCGAGCACCTGTAGCTATGGCAACAGTCAGACTTTGAAAGTTCCACAATCGCTGCATTCTGTCAGGGAGGGGGCATGTGTTCCTGCAGAAATATCCTGCTCTCTCGCTGTGAGAATCTTTCCAGCGCTGAACTTTCGTGGGTGAGAGCTGAGTCTTCGTGGACGTCAGTTTGACGCAATCGGCTCTGCCACGTGTGAAAGCGTGGGCAGGAGAGAACGAGAGAGCGATGCGGAGAGAGATTCCTGTGAAGGGCGCTGTAATTATAGTCTGGGTGTAATGGCAGTGTGCACATTAGCGGCAGCACTCTAACAGGGCTTGTTCGAATGCATACTAATGCTAATGGAGGGTACAGCTCTCAACTACAGATATGATTTAGATGGCAGACCTGTTCCAGTATGATAATTACAATGACTGTCGTGCTATGATTGACACGTGCTAACTCTGAGTCCCTTCTGTTTCTTGTTTTCCCACAGATATGTCCCCTTCAATCTAGTGAAGAATCAAACCCTCCATCCGCATTTATCGAAGTGAACACATCAAACTCCTGCCAGATCAAAGAAGCCCAGTTAACTCCTATCAAAGGGTCCATCTGTCCTCCTGAAGCGAGAACATGGAGCGGCGGTTCGTCTCATTGGCGCTGTGCGCTTGCATGTGCGTGATGTTCGCCCCGGGCATCTCCACTCCCTCCGGGCCAGCATCTGCCACCTGTGCCACCCTGGAGCAAAGCCGCTTCTTCGGTGTGTTCTCCTCTAAGACCGCCCTGTCATCAGCGCCGTGCTCCTGGACCCTGCAGAACCCCGATCCTCGCCGCTACACCGTCTTCATGAAGATCACCAAGCCTACCGAGTCCTGCACCCCACGACAGATCCAGACCTTCCAGTTCGACTCGTTCCTGGAGACCTCTCGCACGTACCTGGGCATGGAGAGCTTCGACGAGGTGGTCCGACTGTGTGACGCCTCCTCCGCGGTGGCCTACCTGGAGTCCAGCAAACAGTTCCTGCAGGTGCGGAAGGTAATGCCACGTCTGGGTGCAGAACCCGTGGAGGAAGACGAAGGCAGCGACGAAGGCAGCCAGTTCAATGCCGAGTTTCTGGTCGTGGGGAAGAGGAACCCAAGCATGCCAGCCTGCGAGATGCTGTGTCAATGGTTGGAAGACTGCCTGGCCACCAGCACCCATGGAAACCCCTGCGGCATCATGATGACCCCCTGCCAGTGCTGGGAGCCTCCTAAAAGGAGGACCGGTGGCTGCTACAGGGGCGGAGTCTACACCGAGAAGTGCTCGCCTACCGTTAGAGACAGCAACCGCGACGCCGAGATCATGAGTAAGTCAAGTCACCATTAGTTATATAGCACTTTTTACAATGCAGATTGTGCCAAAGCAGCTTTACAGTATTAAACAGAGAAATAGTGTGTCGAAATAGTGTTCCATTCTCCTCTGGCCAGACGAGACCAGCAGTTTATTTCTAGGCTGCAACAAAGTCAGATTGTGCAGAGGACTCATCTGGTTCCCGTGGTCTACCGATGGCCTTCTAGGTGATGAGGTCTTCAGAGGGGATCTGTCTCTGGGGCTCATCTAGTTGACAAGTGTGTGAAATGCAAGGTTCCAGTAGCAACTCATTCCAGTAGGCAAAACTGTATGCTCTCCTAAAAGAGAAGAAACAACTATCGATGTGGTTCTGCGGGAGCAGCAGCTCTATAGCCGCGCTCCCCAAGTCTCCATTAAAGCAATCAATGCCCTGTCTTGAGGTTGTCATAGCAACCCGCCGGACTCCAAAGTGGGCAGGAGAGAACGAGAGAGCGATGCAGAGAGAGATTCCTGTGAAGGGCGCTGTAATTATAGTCTGAGTGTAATGGCAGCACGTGCATTAGCAGCAGCACTCTGACAGGGCTCGTCCAAATGCAAACTAATGCTAATGGAGGGTACAGCTCTCGACTATAGATATGATTTAGATGGCAGACCTGTTCCAAGACCAGCAGTTTATTTCTAGGCTGCAACAAAGTCAGATTGTGCAGAGGACTCATCTGGTTCCCGTGGTCTACCGATGGCCTTCTAGGTGATGAGGTCTTCAGAGGGGATCTGTCTCTGGGGCTCATCTAGTTGACAAGTGTGTGAAATGCAAGGTTCCAGTAGCAACTCATTCCAGTAGGCAAAACTGTATGCTCTCCTAAAAGAGAAGAAACAACTATCGATGTGGTTCTGCGGGAGCAGCAGCTCTATAGCCGCGCTCCCCAAGTCTCCATTAAAGCAATCAATGCCCTGTCTTGAGGTTGTCATAGCAACCCGCCGGACTCCAAAAGCACCACATCCAAAGAGCGCCTCGGGTATAAGAAGTAGTTCACCCTTTAAAACGGTCGTCTCATGTGGTGTCCTGGCATTTGGCCTTCAAAACTTCTTTTTGTTTAGAAAAGGTTCAAAAGCGCTTGTTTGTCTAAGAGACTTTTTCGCCCCGCTGTGCAAAACAATGCCACATCGATCGTCAATAAGCTGATTTGATGCCTCTATTATGCCCCTGAAGTTTGCATGCAGATAGTTGACCAGCAGATGTCAGCAGCGTTATCATGACTCATTCGCAGTGAATGTCCTCCTCTCATCCACCTCTTCAGCATTGCTCACCCACCATGTGCACTTAACAGCAGTGATGTGATGAGGCATATCTGTGTGATGTGTTTGCAGAAGGCTGGAACGGGTGGGGCCGCTGGTCCGAGTGCAGTAATGAGTGCGGTGGCGGAGTCCAGGTGCGCAGCCGCGTGTGCCAGCCTGAGGATGGTGTCTGTGAGGGCGTCGTAGAGGAGGGACGGGCCTGCAACCCTCAGCCCTGCATAGGTCAGTTCCACGTCCATAAATGTGACCCTGGAGCACAAAACCAGTCATAAGGGTAAATTTTTTTAATTGAGTTTCATACATCACCTGAAAGCTGAATAAATAAGCTTTCCATTGATGTATGGTTTGTTAGGATAGGACAATATTTGGCTGAGACACAACTATTTGAAAATCTGGAATCTGAGGGTGCAAAAAAATCTAAATATTGAGAAAATCATCTTTAAAGTTGTTCAAATGAAGTTCTTAGCAATGCATATTACTAATCAAAAATTAAGTTTGATATATTTAGGGTAGGAAATGTACAAAATGTCTTCATGGAACATGATCTTTACTTAATATCCTAATGATTTTTGGCATAAAAGAGAAATGTATAATTGTGACCCATACAATGTATTGTTGGCTATTGCTACAAATATCCCCCAGCGACTCAACACTGCTTTTGTGCTGCAGGGACACAAGTGTACACCGCAGTGAATGCACGAGCATGTTGTCTGATCTTACATGTGGTTTTGCGTTGATTTGTGCAGGTCAAGTACGACAGAGAAGTCAAGGTCTGCGTTCAATCATCGGCCAGCGGCGTGATGCTGATGGCACCGTCATGGTGAACCAGGCCCCTCAGAAAGGTGTGTGTCTCTTTTGCAATGCTAGAAAGCAGTCTGGAATTTGTGGACGTGTTGTGCTAAATCAAACTCTGTTATGCTGCAGAAGAGGTCCAGCAGGACACATGGTCTTCATGGAGCATGTGTTCCGTGAGTTGTGGTGAAGGTTTTCAATCACGCTCACGCTCCTGCATGACGTCCACTTACAGCACCCAGTGCACCGGCCCTTTGAGAGAGAATCGACCCTGCAACAACACCGCCGCCTGCCCAGGTACTGCAGCTCACATATATACAATGCCTGCATTTGTTTGTCAGGGTCCTGGAATTGAGGGATTGATTAACGATGCTGTGTTTGCAGTGAACGGAGCGTGGGACGAATGGGCTCCCTGGAGTTTGTGCTCGTCCACATGTGGCCGTGGATACCGTGATCGTGTCCGTACCTGCAAACAGCCTCAGCACGGCGGAGAACCCTGCCGTGGACCTGTCAAACAGACCAAGTTCTGCAACATCGCCGTCTGCCCAGGTCAGTCAACTGACCGCTATTCCAGATCTCAACACCAGATGGCACTGTTCACCATAATAACACAAGGCCTTTCAAATGCAACAAGGAAGATGACTTTGGAGCTTCAATAATAATAATTTATTCTGTCTTTCCCCTCTCCGTAGTTGACGGCTACTGGAACGACTGGTCCGCATGGACTCCTTGCTCTGCCTCTTGCTCAAATGGAACGATGCAGAGAACTCGTGAGTGTAACGGCCCCTCGTACGGAGGCTCGGAGTGCAGGGGAGAATGGCAAGAAACCACCAACTGCTTCCTCAGAGACTGCCCAGGTACAGTATTCCTCTTCAAATGCTTGCTAATGCATGAATATGCTCCCTAAATGGTTCTGCACAAGTGTTTTTAATGAAAGATACTCAAGTGTGTTGTCGCCCTCTAGTGGACGGGAGATGGCTGTTGTGGAGCTCATGGGGCAGTTGCAGCAAGTCCTGCGGTGGAGGCCATCAGCTCAGACAGAGAGTGTGTGAAGGACCTTTCTTTGGTGGAGAGCCATGCATCGGAGATAAATCAGAACTGAGAAACTGCAATGAGAAGCGGTGCCCAGGTGAGAGCTCAAACCAAATGTTTTACTTAATTTCTGCACCAGTTTTGAGGCAGCTTCTTTAAGGGCTTATAAAAATGTGTCTGACAGAACCTCATGAGATCTGCGGGGAGGAGAACTACGGCAGTGTGGTGTGGAAGAAAACGCCCGCGGGCGACACGGCTGCTGTGACCTGCCCTTCTGATGCCACAGGTACTGATCTGAGATCTCAGTCATCCGGCGCTCTGCTTTCTGTGTCGAATGTGGGTCACGGCCTGATTTTAACTCTTTCCCCACCAGAGTTTTTGAAAAAACATTGCCAGAATTTTTGATGATTTTCACTCAAATTTCATGGCTCCCAGAATATTTTGTTGTATGAATATCTGAACATGCAGTACACCAAAATAAAGAACAGACCATCTACTTAAAAAAAAAACAAATTTTATTCTATCTTCAAGCATTCTCTTTTATCAACACTTGAATGTAGGTAGGTTTCATAAAAAAAAAGCAACAAAGAAAGAAAATCTAATTTTTTTATCAAATACTACATCTGTATCATATTCAGTAATATTATCAAAGCAAAGCTGCAGTAAATGGCTTCCATCAGTACTCCCCAAAGCTTCACAGGCCTTTACCACTCTACCACTCTCTAACATTAGGCAGTTTTCATTTCATATGCGGTTTAGTGTTGATGATCGCATTATTTTTCATATGCATATGCATACATATAAGATCGCTGGTTTCTGCGTCTTCCTGGTTTGTGTTTTTGATCGAGTGATTCTAGACTCATTCAGTCAAGTCACCTTTATTTGTATAGCGCATTATACAATACAGATTGTGTCAAAGCAGCTTTACAGTGTCAACAGGAAAATAGTTTGTCAGTAATGCAAGAGGACAAGAACAAAGAGGCATTTTTCCAGCTGAAGTCAATTCATTGATGACTCAGGATTCAGGAGATGCAGCGCCCCCGAGTGTATAACTGTGAGAACACAGAAACTCTGAAAATTCAGAGTTTGGCAGGGAAAGAGTTAATGAAAGAGACAGTGCTTCCCTCCGGATTGCATTAACCCTGCTTTCCCTGACTCCTGCAGGCCTGATCCTGCGTAGATGCACTCTGGATGCCATAGGTCTGGCCTTCTGGGAGAACCCCACTCACATCAAATGCATCTCCAAGGAATTCCAGGACATCCAGACCCTGGTAAGCTCCATCTACTCATACTTCATGTTGGCATAAAGGCTTCAGGACTGGATTCTCAAGCGTCCTTCTCCTTCCAGATGCGTGATCACGTGACTCGGTCTCAGAGCGGTCAGCTGGTGGACGGTGTGTCTGAGGTGCTGTCTAAAGTGAGGATGGTGTCGACTGACAATATGAAGTACAGCGGCGACCTGCTGGCTGTGATGGAGGTCCTGAGGAACAGCACGGAGATCTTCAGAGGCTCAAAGATGAGCCTGAGCAATGCAGATGTGGAGGTACACAAAACCACAGTGCGCAACGATGATGGGAAATAAGTGTATGTGAGAGAAACACCGATCTAATAGCATTGATTTGTTTGACCCACAGAATTACGCTCACACCATCAGTAACTTACTGCTGGAGACACACAAAGAGAAATGGGACGAAGCTCAAATGGTGAGTGTGTGTGTGTGTGTGTGTGTGAAGTATATGTGTGAAGTATGTGTCCTCACACATGCACATTGTGTCTTCATACCAAAAAAGAGAAATAAAGAAGCAGAGAATTCGAGCGCACCCACATGGCAATCTGCGACAGCAGACACCGCCGACACACACACGTCAGCTAACAAATCAGTCATCAGACCATTCAGAGGAACAACTGAGAGATTCTCTGCATTTTTAGAACATGCTGTTTTAGTACTATTTATACACTATTATAGTATTTATGAATAATTTCAATTAGCTTTTTTATATTTTCAGTTTCTGTTTTAATTAGAGATTGTAGTAACTGTATGTGCTATTGTCAGTTGAATTAGTTTTTGTTTGTTTATTTTAATATTTACATCTATATCAGTATATCTATGTCTATCTATATCAGTGCTGTTTTGCTCTGCTGCAGATGGGCGCAAACATCAAGGAATTCTTCAGTCTGATCGAGAGCTTCATTGACATGATCGGACGTCAGATGAGAGATTTCCAGGACATCTATGAGGTCACCGACAATCTCGGTGAGTGTGAAAGGGGTCAGGAGTACGAGGCAGCAGGTGGATGTGTGAGCGTGGGTTTCTGACTCTGGTTTCTAACTGTCTCTTCAGAGCTCAGGAATCAGTCATCAGACCATTCAGAGGAACAACTGAGAGATTCTCTGCGTTTTTAGAACATGCTGTTTTAGTACTATTTATACACTATTATAGTATTTATGAATAATTTAAATTAGCTTTTTTATATTTTCAGTTTCTGTTTTAATTAGAGATTGTAGTAACTGTATGTGCTATTGTCAGTTGAATTAGTTTTTGTTTGTTTATTTTAATATTTACATCTATATCAGTATATCTATGTCTATCTATATCAGTGCTGTTTTGCTCTGCTGCAGATGGGCGCAAACATCAAGGAATTCTTCAGTCTGATCGAGAGCTTCATTGACATGATCGGACGTCAGATGAGAGATTTCCAGGACATCTATGAGGTCACCGACAATCTCGGTGAGTGTGAAAGGGGTCAGGAGTACGAGGCAGCAGGTGGATGTGTGAGCGTGGGTTTCTGACTCTGGTTTCTAACTGTCTCTTCAGAGCTCAGTGTTCAGAAGCGTCCGCGCACCATGACCTCTGACGTGACCTTCCCCCTGAAGGGCTGGCGAGGGATGATTGACTGGGTGCGCAACTCAGAAGAGAAAGTCACAGTGTCCCGCAGCGCTCTGAGTCTAGATGTGCCAGGTACACACACACACACACACACACACACACACACACACAGACACTCACTCACACACACACACACACACTCACACACACAC